AGAAGATTCCAGTTTCAAAAAAAAAAATCAACACTTTAATTTTCAGAAATGTTTGAAGCTTAAGGTAGCATCATCTTGAAAGAATGCTTGGCAAAACACAATTCCTGCAGCTACCAAAAATGATCTGATTCAAAATTATTAGTCTTCCCAAACGTATTTGTTGTACTTCCTACTGTAGGGTACTGAGCTCTCAATTATTTATTTTCTATTTCAACCCCCAAGCTGTGGAAAAATATGATATCAGAACAGCAGACAATTCACTTCAGGCATTTTTTAAAAACTTAAAAAATAAAAAAAAAGGAACAGACTAGACTAAATGGTCTCGAGTTTATTCAGCCATTCAACAGATTGTGACTATTACATCAATTCTATTTTCTTGTCTTCTCCGAGCTGCTCTTTTTTTAATTGCACAATAATCTATCAAATTCAGCCATGAATATATGACTTGAGTAAGTACAAGTCTATGGAGATGGAGAGTTTCAAAGATTCACAACACAGTGTCTGAAGAAAAAAATTCTCTTCATCTCAGTCCTGAGAGGATACACCTAGCTCCGGCCTCTCCAGCTGAGGGAACTATCTTCCAGCATCTACCTTTTAACTCCTCAAAGAGTCATAAACTTTTCAATGAGATCATCCCCATGGTCCATTCTATTCAATGTCTTCTCATAACACAAACCTCTCATCCCAGGAATCTTCACAATAGCCCCCAAGTATATCCTACACCAGATGACAGGCTGAAGCTGTACACAGCACTTCTGCTATCATTTCCCCGAAACCCTATATAACTGTACTAAGATTTCATTATTATTAATACAATGATACAACCCCCTTTCAGGAAAGAGTAACATAGCAACTGCCTTCTGAATTATTGCTGTACCTATGTGGTAACGGGATGAGTTCTGCATATTCAAATTCCTTGGGATACCAACACTAATTAGTTTCTCACCTTTTTGAAAACTATACTTTCTACTAAGTGGATAATTTCAAATTTCTCCCACATCATTCTTTCTCTGTTAGCTAGCTGATTATTCGTTGAACATCTCTCTATCCCTTTGCAGCCATTCTGCATTATCCTCGCAGCTTATTTTCCCAACACATCTTGTATCATCAGCAATTTTGGATGATTACATGTGATCCCCAACTGCAAGCCATTGATATAGATCTTAAATAACAAACACCTCTCCTTACAGCAGCTCACTAACAGCAACCTGCAAAAACCAAAAATGATCCTTTTATTCCGACATCCCATCCTCTGTCCATTAACTAGTTCTTCATCCAAAAATAATACATTCCCCCAATCCCATGCATCTTCTGAGATCTTGTGCAGCATATTTTCAAATGTCCTCTGAAAATTTAAATGTATGACACCTGCTCGTTCCCCGTTATCTAACTACACCCACATAAAATTCTGGCAAACATCATTTCCTGTCATAAAGCAATCTGACTCTGCCTAATCGTATTATGTTTTTTGAAGTTTATTATCACCATTTCTTTCAAATTTTCCCTGTTACTCATCAGGCTACTGAAATAAAAGCAGAAAATCACTGGAAAAACTTAGCAGATCTGGCAGCATCTGCAGAGAGAAAGCAGAGTTAACACTTCAGGGCCAATGACTCTTCCTCATATTAGCTGGCCTATGGTTCTGTTTTCTCTTTTTCTCCTTTCTTTCTTAAAGAAGCATTCGTTACCTTCAGTGTTGCAAGATATTTTTAGAATCTAAATAATTCTAGAAGTTCAAAGGCAACACATTCACTGTCTCTGTGACCACTTCTTTTAGATCTCGAAGACACAGTCCATCAGATCCAGAGGGTTTTCCGGAGTGTTTGGCTATGTCACTGTTGTTTAAATCAATTAAACATCGTTAGCTTTAATAACTGGTTATGGTCTCAAATCCTTACACATGTGTTTTACATTCCTAGCAGATTAGAACACCCAAATACAATCAAAGGAGATGTGTAAAATGACAGAGATAACGAGGTGTAGAGCTGGATGAACACAGCAGGCCAAGCAGCACCAGAGGAGCAGGAAAGCTGACGTTTTGGGTCTGGACCCTTCTTCAGAAAATGATATGAGCTTTTCCTGCCTTGCACTTTTGTCACTACACATAGATAGTATTTGCATGCATGTAACACTTGTAATACAGTATGTGATAAGCAAATTGTCAATTTTCAATGGTTCATTTCGATAGATGTGATTGTGTGGCATGACTGAGTGACAATACTTGCCACAGAACAAATGCTTCTCTGCATCATCATTCCCCTTATCCTGCTTGTTAATCTGAATCGGGTAGGAATTAGAATTCAAATTTGAAATTTTGCCCAAATTTATTTTCACAAGACTCTTAGCTCACACATAAAACATCTGACCTTGCCCAAGCATATTTTAGTCAGAATAAGGAGTCTTGCAAGTCTCTGTATCACGTACACTCTCATTGATTATAAAATGCTGAAAGTAGTTTGACAGGAATAATCCTGGGAAACTGCTTGCTCTAGATGGCGAGTCCAGAAATTGGAGTCACAATCTCAGAATAAGTATTCAGCCATTTTGGACCTGTTCTTAAAAACTCTTTTCACAGAGGGTGTGTGAATATTAATTGCCTATCCCTAATTTTCCATGAGAAGGTGGTGGTGACACAGATGAAAAAAATGTTTTCACTCAAAACATTGTGAACTTTTGGAATTCTCATAGAACTGTATGATCTCTTGTTGTGTATATTTAAGACAGGTCGTTTCAATTAGTATCGCAAATATCTTTTCATAAGACATGAGGATAATAAAGACTCTGGACCTGATGCACTATATCTTAGAGATTTAAAAGAGGAGATGTGAAATGCAGCCATGATCTTGCTGAATGCCAGACCAAATGGCCTACTCCAAGTCAATTTCTTAAAAGTGTCATTCAATATCAGATATTTTCTAGTCTTCATTAACTCACCTAAAAAGGCAGGAAAACTAAATGGAACACTTCCCTTTACTATTCTACACCTAGGCAAAATTGCTAAGAGCTTATAAGTTTGGCAGGAACATCTTGCCTTCACGAACAGCTACAGATGGAAAAATATAGCATTGCTGATAAAAAGACATGCTGTCAAAGCATTTCCTCTTCCACTCACCAGGAACATTTGTAAGAAACGAACGTTTCAAAGGGAACAACAATTTATAGTGCCTGAGAAAAGGGTGTTGTTTGATTGGCATGTGGACTGTGATTAGTCAAGACTTTGTCAATGAGAATGCATCCTTGAACAGTTATCTTCTAAGTTTTTATTTAAATTCAAGGAAGGAAAGTTAGCTCCATTTGCTCAAAGAATTACCACCAGCAAACCATTGCCCCCCATATTAAGAATTAGACTAACAACCAGTTTTTAAAAATTCTCTTGTGAGATGTGGGCATTGCTGGCAGGCCAGCATTTAATGTCTGACTCTGGTTTCCCTTGAGATTTAATTTTATAGTGATCAATTAGCAATCTAAGAATATCATTTGGGCTCACAATGTGGCTCAATGACACCTTGCAAGAAGCCACATGTATTCATATACAGGGCCTTGGTCTCTGCAAACAGAATTATGTCCAGGCATTGCATATTTTCAAATAATTACATTTCCCATGGTAACACTTCGACCAGTTCAACTTTCCTTTCACCAAATAATACCAAACTGTGTCATAAAAAAAGTAATTTGGCCATTTATTCTTTCCATACAGATACAGTATGATATCTCCCAAAATCCATTTTTTGTATCCACTCCAAAATACCTGTTTTACAATGAGGGCCTCAGAAAAATCAACTCAAATTCTACAACTCCCAATTTTTTTTCAAGTCCCATCTCTGAGATGCCGGTTACATGCAGTAATGCAGTTATTTTGTTTAAAATGGCTACAGTTAAAATAAATTGCACTTTTCTTAACATCCTACTTTTCCATATCATCCAATCTTTCTTTTAAGAGAGCATTACATCCCAGGCAGATTTAAATGGAAAGTATTCAACGACTATATTCAAATATTAATTCCATGGGCTCAATTTATGGAAGGGTTTTCTTGAAGGTGTGAACATTTTAATTTTCCCATGGACAATTTTCGAAGATTCATATCCACAAAGGTTAAAACGTCAAAGAAAGTAATCCGGAATAGATACGAATTATGATAACATAAATCAATTTATCTGCACTGACATTTCTCTTACAATCGAGGGCTTTGTTATCTTATTATAACGTTTAAGATGATAATTGGACAGCAGAAAAGATGTAACGCTCTTAAGCGTTGGTCTTTCTTCCAGATGGATGAAGTGTCACATTGTCTCGGCCAGGAAAGAAGATTGTTTCAGAATTAAACAAACAGACCAGGTATTAATCAGAAATTATACCGTGCACACTCCACACACAAATGACAGGTGCAACCATTTTGTGCCAAACTGTTGTTATTTCCAAAGCAAAAAAAAAACACAATCTGGCGCGATGAATTCGCAGTTTCACATAATGACTGCTGGCCGACGCAGCAAACGTTTTGTTTTTAATATCAAAATGCTATGTCCTTTTGTTGAATGGGTAGGGGGTGGTGGTGGAGTCTATAAACAAACAGCATATTAAGCTAATCGTAATGGGAATGAAGATTTCACCAAAATTCCCATTCAAAAAGCAGACAAAACCCTAGCAATTCATTGCGGTTGGGAGGGGGAGGACTGGGAAAGGGGGCTACTGGCTGATACCGCTGGAGCAGCGAGAATCCGATACAATAGGAGCTAGAGAGACTTGCTGTTAATGTTACTTCTACATTCGCTACGGTCAGGCGTGCGGTTCATACAGATACCAGAGAGAGAGTAGGAACTCTCACTCAAATCCTTTAAGCTCGTTATGTGCAGTAGCAAGATTACTGACTTCATACAAATATATCCCGCATATTATTGCCCTGCCGAAATGCCGTGACACTTAAAAGGGGCACCGGATCAATAATCATTTCCATTTAGTAAACAAAAGGACCCAATTGTTGTTAGAAATTAACAAATCCTACCTCAAATCCCGGTCTAAGACAAAACCCTTATAAAATATTAATACCCCATGGAAATGGGGTTATCATTAAAGTTTCCTCTCACAAGGTAGGTCGAATATTGGGGAAGCTCAGTATCTCTCTCACACGCACACTAACACAGCAACACCTCGTCCCATTATCCGCAATGAGAAAGTGCTAGAGGAAATAAGAACCTTTGTGTTGCTGACAGCGTCAGACTCCGCTAGAGTGGCGATGCAATGTTCCCGTTTGTATTGAATTAAAATAAAAGATTAATTACTGCCTTTGTAAGTAAAATCTGTGAATGAGGGAGGGAGGCGGTGAGAGAATGGTGCAACAATAAAAGAGTACAGGTTTCCAGCCACAATTCCAATTCTGCCATGCATGCAGCGCACCCTGTACGATAATATTTCTTTACGTTGCTGTTCCCACCCCTTTATTTTGATAGCACCGGACCAACGACACTAACTCACCGCTCCCTCTACTGTCACCGCAGTCTGTCATTCCACTGAATATTCTGTCTCGGGCACCTCCTGCATTCCGCTGAGCAACGATAATATTGGGGGCTGCTGTACTGTCTCTAAATCATCCCCGCTGCAAAAAGTGAGCGCTTTGCAGTAATCTCTCGCTGCCTTTTGTTCCTTGCCGGGCTACAAACGCATTTCTGCTGAGCGATCCATTGCTGAATACGGCAAGAGTTGAGTTGTCTCTGTTTCTTTCGCAGACACTTGACACTCACTCCAGCTGGTCAGCTCCCCCCTCCCCGTAACTTGACAGCAGGAAGTGCAGGTACATTGGTTGATTGACACCACCGTCCTACCAATAGTATGGAGCTGGCTCTCCAATCTGACACCTCCTTGTCCCCCCTACCCCCCACTGCCTCCAATCAACGGCAAGAGGAGGTGGGATTTTCCACTTTTGCTTTTGATCAAGGCATAGGGTTGCCGTCTCCACTGCATTCTGGGGATCGTAGTTCAGCGAGACATCTCAGCAACCCAACAAAGAGAAAGGAAATAAAAAGCAGGCGATATATGAGCTCTCCAATTTAAACGTGCAATTAGGGGTTGTACTGTAGGACCTAAGTTGCATTAGAATAAAAGCAAAATGCTCTGGAGGCTGGAAATGGAAATTCGGAGAATTCTGGAAAATCTCAGCAGGTCTGGCAGCGTCTGCGGAGAGAGAAAAATTTAACTACTAAATAAAAACGGAAAGAACTGTGGATGCTGGAAGTTAGAAACGAAAACAGAAATTTCTGGTAGAGCTCAGCAGGTCTGGCAGCATATGTGGAGAAAAATCAGAGTTAACGTTTCGGGTTGAGTGACCCTTCCTCAGAACTGCCTCAGTTCTGCCTTCTGAGGAAGGGTCACTCAACCTGAAATGTTAACTCTGATTTCTTTCTACAGATGCAGCCAGACCTGCTGAGTTTCTCTAGCGCTTTCCAATTTATTTCACATTTTCAGCATCTGCATTAGCATTTCGAACTCAGTATGACTTCTTCAGAAGATTTTGTTTACTCCAAAGCTGCAGCACATTTCTGCAACTGACCTATCCAATTGTAACTTCTACAATTACAGAATTATAGAAATTTCAAAAAATTCAACCAAGCAACAAATCTGATCCAATCACCAAAAACTGGTGGAAATAGTAGAAAAATGAAAATGGCTAAGGGGATATTGTGCAATCTTTCAAAATGACCGCTCTGAGGTTTCACAGCTTCTGAAGAAGAGATATGTTCGACTCCAAACATTAACTTTGTTTCTCTCTGCACAGATGCTGTCAGACTTGCCGAGTTTCTCCAGCATTTTCCAATTTATTTCAGATTTCCAACATCTGCAGTATTTTTCTTTTATTGAGCCACCACCTGAGACCAGTGGGCTGAAACAGTGCAGGATTAGCTGTCCTCTCTTTACCTTGGATTCTTAGCCAGCTGAGATTTCCATTTCTCCTCAGCTCTTCCAATCCTCCCCTGGCCAGACCAGGATGCGGCAGAGGACCCAATTGTGAGTACCTGATTCCTCGTTGTCTGTATCAAGATCCACCATTTTTATATCTCCTTTGTGGGAACTCTTCAATAATAGTTACAGACATTGTGCTGGTAGTAATCCACTTGCAAGCTTCAGTTAAACCTAAATTAACCCTAGTTCTTGACATTGCATTTCAAAAAGAATGTGCAGGTTTGGACCTACAGAAGCAGGTCCCGCAGAATGATACAAGCATTGAGTTATGAGAAAAGGCTGTGCAAACAAGGTTTGATAATAGGAAATTAGGGAGTGATTCAGAGAGGTGTTCAAGATACTTAAAGGATTTGATAGAATGGTTAGAGTTATTTCACTTGAAGTTCAGAACATGAAGCTATCACATGGATAGTGGAATTCTATAATTCTCTCCTCCAAATAGCTGGACTAGGAAGAGGAGCCTGAATATCATAGGTTCATATTCAGCAAGATTTTGAAGAGTTATGGAAGCAAGGCAGACCGATAGAGAGTCAGGATACAGATCGGTTGAATGGTGAGACTGACCTGATGGGGTGAATAGCCTGTTCCTGTTGGTATGTCACGAGTAAGTAATTTGCCACCTCTAAGTATTGGTCACTTGGAAGACTGGAACGTGGCCAATGTGGTGCCATTATTGAAGAAAGGCTGTAAGGAAAAGTCAGGAACCATAGACTGGTGAGCCTGATGTCAGTGGTAGGTAAGTTGTTGGAAGGAATTCTGAGAGATAGGATTTTCATGCATCGGAAAGGCAAGGACTGATTCGGGATAATCAGCTTTGCTTTGTGCATGGACGATCATGTCTCATTAATTTAGTTGAGTATTTTTTAAGACATGACAAAGAATGATGAAGGCAAAGTGGTAGATGTTGTATACTTGGACTTCAAAGTGTTCGACAAGGTTCCGAATGGTAGACTGGTTAGTAAAGTTAGATCACATGGGATCTGGAGGAGCTAGCCATTTGGATACAAAATTGGCTTGAAGGTGGGAAACAGAGGATGGTGGTACAGAATTGATTTTCAGACTGGAGGCCTGTGACCAGTGATATGCCACAAACATCGGTGCTGGGTTCATTGCTTTTATCATTTGCATAAGTGATTTGCATGTGAATACAGGAGGTATTGTTAATAAGTTTGCAGATGACACCAAAATAGGTGGTGTAGTGGGCAGCGAAGAAGATTATCCTAGAGTACAACAGAACCTTGATCAGATGGGCCAATGGGCTGAAGAGTGGCAGATGGACTTTAAATCAGATAAATGTGAGGTGTTGCATTTTGATAAGGCAACCCAGGGCAGGATTTATATAGTTAAAGGTAGGGCCCTGGGGAGTGTTGCCAAACAAAGACACCTTGCGATGCAGGTGCATGGTTCCTTGAAAGTGAAGTCACAGGTAGACAGGATGGTGAAAAAGGCATCTGGCACACGTGCCTTCATTGGTCAGAATTGAGTATAGGAGTTGGGATGTCATGTTGTGGCTGTACAGGACATTGGTGAGGTCACTTTTAGAATACTGCATTCAATTCTAGTCGCTCTTCTATAGGAAAGATATTATTAAGTTTGGGAGGATGCAGAAAAAGATTTACAAGGATGTCGCAGGGAATGGAGGGTTTGAATTATATGGACTGGGACTTTTTTCCCAGGAGCATCAGAGGCTGAGGCGTGACCTTATAGAAGTTTATAAAATCATAAGGGGCATGGATAGGGTGAATAGACAAGGTCTTTTTCCTAGGGTGGAGAAGTCCAAAGCTAGAGGGCATAGGTTTAAGGTGAGCGGGGAAAAATGTAAAAAGGACCTGATGGGTAACTTTGTCATGTAGAAGGTGGTGTATGTATAGAATGAGCTGCCAGAGGAAGTGGAGGAAGCTGGTACAATTATAAGATTTAAAAGGCATCTGGTTGGGTAGATGAATAGGAAGGATTTAGAGGGATATGGGCCAAATGCTGGCAAATGGGACAAGGTCAGATTGGAATGCCTGGTCAGCATGGACTGAAGGGTCTGTTTCGGAGCTACGTGACTGTATGACTCTATAACTTGTCGTAAAATTCAACTTCCAGCCTTGGCATCTGTAGTGATTTTAATGAGGTTGGCCAGATGAACCTCACAGAATTTGAGTTCCATGATTGATAGCCTGACCCAATCAGGGAGCCCTGGCTGACAGATATAAACAGGGGTGTCAGAGGTTCTGTTCTCCTCTGAGATCCGGCTCTGAGGGAGCTGGATCAGTGTCAAGGACTTTCCATGTGTAAGTAAAAGGTGACTTGGTGATAGGATACCGGCCTCTGTGGAGTTATTTCAGCATCATTTTGCTGAACCTGTGCTGCATGTCCAAACTAATGTATCCTTCCTGAAATGCATTGCTTTAATTGAATGCATTGAGTTCAAAAATCTTCAATTATTTTAGTCCCATTTCTTCCTCTTTCCCCTGAAGATAACAATTTATTTTGATCTGTGGTGCTGCAGATACCAGCACCACAGATCAAACCATTGTGCATGAAGTGCAGGGTAGACAGTAAGCATCGTCAGGTTAGTTAGCAATGGGAAGACTCCAGAGTGACATCTAGTCCAATCCAATCCTCACCCAAATTCCAGCCAATATTACTGGATAAGAATGAGGAGCATGGACTCTGCCCTGTATTATCTTTCATTGCTGACAGTGAGTATGGCTAACTTAGGGCATGCAAACTAGCATTGTTTAATTTATTGGATAATAATCATGTCGGGTTGCCTCTGTACCATACCACTTGCCAGAGGATCTCGTTGTGGTTGGTGGCTATCCTCCAGTGTGTCTGCCTGCCTTGGTGCATTACACTTCACTAACTAATAATGATAAAGCTCAGGTTTGAAATTTTCAGCTGACACCCTTCTACTCCCGATGCCCAACATTCCCAGCTGCAAGGAGACAGAAAGGTCTGAGGTGCTGGAAGTCAGGGTCAATAAATGTGGAGCTGGAAAAACAGAGCAGGTCAGACAGCATCCGAGGGGCAGGAAAGTCAACGGTTTGGGCCAAAACCCTTTTTCAGGACAAGCCTTTTAGAAAAGAGAATTCCAGATTTCCACTATCTTTCGCGTGGAAAAACACTACCTGATATCATGATTAGCTCTACTTTGAAAGCTTCATCCCTTTGTTCTGGAAGGAATTCATTTAGTCATCTAAGAGTAGTATTCATAATTTGCAACATTTCAGTTTTATATGAAGGTGTTTGTCTTTCGTTATGACTGCTCTGTAAACTGATTGACATTGTGTTTGGGGATGCCAACTCAAGATCTTCTGAGATTCACAATCACTCCATTTTGAATCTCTGTCAAAAAAAAGTGTTGAATTATTGAGAAATTCAAGA